TGCGCATGTCTCGCCACGCGCTCGAATTGGGCGGTAGGCCGGCCTAAGACAACGATTTTTAATAATTAATTACTTGTTAACTATTACGAAAATTGCAAAATGGTACAGGACTTTTCCGTTCATCTCGATCCGTTCTACCTTCTCAAAAATTTTGTCGGATATGGAAAGACTCATCCTGTATACGTAATTTAATCGCAAAAGTTAATCGGAAAAATTAACCATCGGAAACACTGCTTAATCGGTTTATTCGATAGTTTTTCGCGGTGCAGTAATGCCGCAAATCTGTACGCCACAATACTCTCAAGGCCTTTGTCCACGATGCTAGAACCTGGACCAAGTTCTAGCACGGTGGACACAGGCCTCCAGCGGTTTACCCCTCGGAAAAATATTTATAATATATAATATTATTTCGACTGTACACCCGCCGCGTATATTTTCTCGAATCGAAATCATTTGTCTCTATTATACTTTACGACGTTTATGGATTGGGAAAATAATTTGTTGCCGCTCGTCTGGCGCCGAGTGAGCACGTAAAAGCCTAATGAGTCGCCTCTCGCTACTTTCAGTTTGCTAATTGAGTTATCAACTTCGACGCGATCTATCATTTTCTCAGCGGGAACATTAAGTGTTTACTTATAGGAATTTTGAAGCCCGTTGTGTCAACTCGCCGCGAATTCGAGAGCACGAGCGCGCGCCCGGCGCGCGCCAGACCCTTTCCCCGTCCGAAATGGAAATGTACTCCGGAATTGGTAAAATAAATAAATAACGCCGACTTCCCACATCGGCGCTGTTTATATTTGCTTATTTCGTAGCGATGATTGAAAGAGTAAATATTGCCGGAATATTCCAAGGAGAATATTCCCCGGGATCCCCTCTGCTCTCGAGGCGGCGGTCGATACTAATTTCGAGCCGCCCGGCGATAGTTAATTTCAAGGATAATCTACTTGGTGTTAATTTATTAGAACGCGGCTAAAAGTCGATATTTTACGCGAGCATGCGCGCGCGAACTTCCCTCCCCTCGCCCAGAAGAAAACTTCAAACTTTGTTCCTTGGTTTTTATTTTTTTTAAATCTTCATCTCGAAATTGCTATTTTACAAGAGTCTCGCGATACAACTTAAATATTAAGTATTTTAATTATCATATCGCCGTGGAGAGAGACGTAATACTGGTAAGAGCCCCTCGTGCCGTTCGCTCCGCGACTTGCGCCTGAATATCGATTCGCCAGTATTGTAACGTGAACTTTAAAACTTGCCAATTCCCTACGTCTATCCGCCGTGCGGCGCGAAACCGCCGTAAAGTCGGTAAACGCGTCGATCCGGTTTTTTTTCCTCCCTCCCCTAGCCGGACACGAACGCGCGAGAACTTTCCGTATTTTTGTGTGGTTTTTTTTTTATGCGTTTGAGAGAAGCGAAATTGCATATGAAGGTGGCTGGAAAATTTGCAACCGTTCCCCAGTTCCGCCTCGCGTTACTCCGATACATTCTTCCTTCTTCTTTTTTTTTTCTCTCCTCCTCGCCTTTCTTCCTCGCTGCTAGCGGTATCCGCGTTTTTACCCGGCGCGTTAATGAAGCTGCAACCGGACGTGGTAATGCACGAAGTAAACTCGCGTAAAGAGATTTACCGCCTCGCGAGTATCTCTTAATAAAGTTCCATTGCGATTTCGTTCGCATGGTTAACTTTTACTAAGGATGTTACATAAAGATCATAAGTCGCTTGTTTGGCTTTTTATTAAAACCGTTTGCCACGAGATAAGCTGTGTTATACCTTGTGCTATGTTTTCGTTTAAGCTAGTCCGCGAGTTAATATAAGCGATCGAAATCTCTCGTAATCGCAGATAAACGTGTAATAAAGTCGAACGTAGGAAACAAATTTAACCCAGTCGTCCTTGTTAGATTAACATCGAACGTGTGTTGTGTGCAATTCATGTCATAATTATTTGATAACTCGACATTAAAGTAATGACCTGTTTTACGACCGTCCTTATGACTTTTCGTAATTACTTAATTATAAGTAATTATCTTAAATGTGAATGTATTTAAAAAGTCCAAAATAATTTGCTACTTAAAAAAACAACAGTGTATACTTCAGAAAATTTTGATAATTTTGTTATCTATTTGCCTTAAAGATATTATAAAATGTTCTTGTTTTGTAACTTTTTATTTTATGATCCTGTTTCGTCTAATCTCGTGAAACGGGTCGTATCAGTCTAATATATTAAAGCAGATGATTAATATTGAATAATTTCGCGTTTAAACGTATCGCGAAACAAATGTGCAAAGCTGCAACTGAAACATTTAATTGCGTACACGAGCGATAAGTTAATCATTGGAAATTTATAATATTATTTTTGCCTAACATTAAGTACTTAATATTTCTTGCCCAATCGAGTTATGTCAAGTTATTACGTTATTAATTGCGTAATTGAGATCAATTTATCAGGGAGGAAGGAGATAAAGCCCAATTCGCTTCGACGTAGCTCGTTTTAGTCGATAAAATGAGTACAGCCCGCACTGTTGCACGATGACATCGTGCGTCCCTTTATACGACGGATTAATCAATAACGGTTATTAAACTTATGCCGTCGGCCGGGGCATAGATGGGTGTCGATGTAACTGTTAGAATCATTGATAATTTGAATTTTAAGCGATTTTCGACCGTGCCTAAACTGACACGGAAAATGTACGCGAGGAGCAGCATGAATATATATCGTGTATTCAAGAAACGAGATTGCTGTTCGAAAACTTTGCCTTTCGAAGCTCTACAATGGGAATGTATGTCGTCTGTTGCAGATTCACGCAAATGAAGGACGTTAGATGAGGAAGTTTGCGAGACTGCCTGAACTGCAGGTAAGTCTATAACGCAAAGTCGTATGAATAATCTGCCGAGCGTACAGTGTGCATTATTTAATTGCTTCGTGAGATTTTATCTGCGTGTACGTTGATTCGCATACACGAAAGCGTAATAAACGCAAAGTGGAATTTTTACTTTTCTTTTAACATTTAGCTCGCGAGGTAGCGAATAATACAGTCATATACGCAGAGAAAACCATTTCTTTGGATTTCATAAATTTTGTTGTATCCAAACAAATTTGATATTCGGGATGATCCAAACCAATCATTTGTTTGAATTTGAAATAATATACAGGGTATCTCATTTCAAATGATCCACGCAAATATCGTTTCAAACAAAAGTTGTTTGGTTCGAAGGGGGACGTAAGGTGATGCCATTGACTTGACTAGTCTTGGTGGCTTGGATAGTCATTTGAAGGTAACGTGAAGGTCACCTTCAATTTTTTAACTGGAACTCCCTATTGTTTATTGTACTATCTTATTCTACAAATTAATATGAACAACTTTTGTCTGAAACATTTTTCGATTTGCCTAATACTTTTTGAGATATTTGCGTGGGTCACTTAAATTGAGACACTATCTTCGTCTGAAATAAAACCTTGGTTTGAAACAAAAGGTATATTCTCTGTGATCTAAATGATATTATTGTTTTATTCAAGCAACATTGTCGTTTGATAGAAAATATGTGAACAAAATGTACATGCGTACGTACATCTTTTTCACTCTACATTATAATTTTTTCTTCATTAGAAGAAGAGAGATAAACACTGAATTAGTACACGATAATAAACTTTCAAGACCCCTATCTAAAACTAAACAACATATGAGAACACGCCAATGTGGGTCACAAGGCAGGATGTAGGTAGCACAACTTGTAATTTTTCTGAAAATCGTAAATCTATATACCGTTTCTTTCCACATTGGTTCTAATTCTAGAACCTCTGTGTGTTGTACGACAGTATTGTACACTTTTTTTTAAGTTACCTTGTCAATTTTGTTTGTGCAATTTGACATTTAGAGAGTGTTTAATGGTACACGTTGCAACTTTTCATCTTACGAAACCACGATGACAATTGTTCGTCGTCTCATTAATGTTTCGATGCGCGTCCGATATTCACTTAATCGGGTAGAAAATTTCTACTTGACCGCGCTGTTTTTGCCCGAAGCGAAACTAATTGACGTCTCATTAAAAGAGTATTCAATTACGTTTAATACTGGCTCGACATTGTCTAGCTATCGGCCTAATCAACTGTTATGGCAACCTATCTTCTGCCTCATTCGGATCGAGAGTTGCCGACTATTCAGCTGCACGTTTAATCTAATCAACCACCCATCTACCTGCTCGTGATTATCTCAGGAGGTCACGGCGTCACGCAATGTACCACCCGATGCTAACTTTATTTAGGTTTAACCATCGTGTAGCATCTAGAAGCGGCTTATCACGGTCGTACAGACGTTTCCAAATTATTGTTTTTCTTTCATATATCTCTTGTCTGACATATCGGCGAATGGGGAATCTGCTTGAAATCAAGTTGCTTGTTTCCGACGGGAAAAACTTGGGACATTTAATTTGACGACTATTCAATGCCCAATGCTGCTCGCAGCGCAATCATTGACCGCTGCGTTGGCACAATCAATGTTTTTATCCGCACGGCGATTAAGCGGTCGAGCGGTGATAATTGCGGAAGCTGATTTTAACCAGCGCGAGAAGTTCCCCAATTTTCCTCGCTTTCTAATTCGCGAGGTGTCAACGTTGCATACACGAGCGTTTCAATCGGGCTCGCTAATCGACGACCTTGGCTCGCCATCAACTACGCCGTGCTGGACAACGTAGGAGCGCGATCTTCTCACGGCATAGTTATGCTTTGTCGTAACACGCATCTCTGCCGATTAAACCTGTCAAAGGGATTATAATTATTCAAGGTCGTCGAAATCTCTCGATATTGATCGCAGCGTTTCGACGACCCGTCCAATCTGTCGTCACCTGCGACGCGAGAACTTTCAACTCTTTTTCCCGTCCTTTCAGCTCGGTGGTCGTCCTTTTCTTCAAAACCATTTTGTCCAAGTAACTTTGTATCGTGTAACAAGTGTCGGGGGAAAGGGGCAGTAATTATCGCTAAAAAAAAATCTTGTTACACGTGTATCGCCAAGCACCGTGTTATTACGTACCATTAGTCGTACGGTAAATGGGATTTTCGACGGCGTTGCTCGCCGAGATGTGTCGAGACGTCTGCCGAGTATTCGTATTAATCGTGGGGCATTTGTAACGCATCCGTGCCTCTGATCCACTTTTCCTCAGGTCGGGCCGCTTGGTCCGCTGCGTTCGTGTCGCAGACGGGCTCTCGACAATCTCTACGACTCATCATTAATATTATTCGAGCCACACGAGAGAGGCTCCTATCGGCTTCCGGTCGGGAAGACCGGCTCCGTAAAATTTGCCACTAATTGGATCAACGAGACGTCGATCGCTGCTCGCCGTCTCCACCTCGACGCAGAGCGGCGAGTGTTCGTAGGGCGTTCAAAGGGCGCCTGAATCTCGCGAGTGAACGGCGAGCGACGTTCTCGATTATTCGCGATTACCGTCGACCTATCGTCCTTTCGGAGGGACAACGTCAGCCAACCGGGATCTTCTCCTCCCAAACGAAGCCGGTTATACCTCGTGGGCCGCTTCGCTTCTCGGCGACGACCCGGCGACGTTTAGCGTCCGCCGGACTAAAGCCGCGAGCGGACTGCACGGACCTCTACTCTCGCAACTTTTCCGAAGGCCGGCACCGGAACTCTAGAATTATTCACCGGAGTTGCTTCCACGCGCCGGCGGCGACCGCGCTCGCTCGCTCGCGACCGCGTCTGCCTTACGAATCGCGCCGCGATATCCGCGGGGCGCGTTATCGCGGCTCGCGCCAGCGACGTCGCGACGCGACAGTCGTCGCCGACGCCCTGTCACACACTTTTACGACACGCCGCCCTACACCTGGTGGGATCGATGTCGCGGTGGCTAAAACATCTAGAACACGCCGGGTATTACAGGTATTACGTACACGTAATACCAGCGCTCAGCGTCACCGCCTAAACTTCCCTTTACATAGTCGTGTTACGCGATAATTGAGAAAAGGGAGGGGGATAGTCGCGTCTGTTAATTAAAATTTACTCGTTTTCGCGACATGACGGACGTCGCTTGAGATCGGCGTTCAATCTTTGATTACACTGATCGATTTTAAGCTCTTTTTAAAGCTCCGCTTCGACTGTCAGCTCGATCGATGAGTTCGTTTCGTTTCATTTTAATGTTTCTAATCTGATCAGCTTGACAAATTGAATGAATTACGGTGAAGTACACCAGGACCGTGTAAATATTTCGTAGAGCGTGGACCATGTAATTAATAGCGGACTAATTAACGTTACGTTGGGGAACGTTTCGACGATGTAAAACGGCATAATGTAATGAGTTTCGCTTAAAAGACTAGATTTGCAGAAAGATTAACTATAGAATTGCGCTCGCCTTGAAATGCAATTTAATACATTTCTTTCAAAGCTCACGAGAAGTTTCACGGTGCCGCAGCGAGAAGCTGTCGTCGCGCGGCCATCGCGAGCAAGTTTCGCGAGCAGACTCTCGGAATTGTCCTTTCGGCTTAAGAACCTCCGTTAATTCCCTCGATTTTACGGCAATTAGACCTCGTCGAATCGCCACGGAAGCTCGGCTGCCTCTCAACGGCGCGCACTTTTCGCATCTGTTTGCGTAAGACGTATCGGGAGTTGGACGTTTGCTCATCCGAAAGGCATCTGCCGGTAGATTCCCCAAGTCCGTTAGCCCTTAAAGTTTTCATTGCCCGCGGGACAATGAGGAGGCGAGATGCGGATGAACGGGGGCCGCTGCGGGGTAGCTGCGGGGAACCGCGTGTTCGCGCTGCCTGCAGCCTCGCTAATTGGAGTTGTCATATTGCCGGGTGCTCCAATTAGCAGTTGCCGTCATCGTTGTAAATACGTAACGAAAATTATGCGCGCCTAGTTAACTCGCATAAATTTTGACCCCGTATCACCGCGGGGGCCGCGAGTTTAAACCGGCGAAATCAATGGCGAGAGGTAACTTCGATGCGCGTTTGCCGGAATCGCGGTGGAATTGCGTTTACCTTGAAAATACGCGATTAAATCCGCCAGACTTAGCGGTGTCTCTCCGCTCTCGGCATGAAAAATTTAAAAGTCTCACGATTTCCGTGCGCGCGAGCATGAAATTCATCGCGCGTTTTACGCCGTTTCCAATGTGCAATAATATTCGCGGCGCAGAGATCGTACCGGCTATAATTACTTCGTCGCTTTTTCATTAACGCTTTTAATTAAAGCGATTTAGTCGCGAGAGATGGATCAGATTATCTTGAATTAATTCAGCACGTGCACTTTCTGAGTTGATGCAGGTCTTTGTTACATTCGTACGGTAGATTCGTACTTGTGCGTTTATCGAAACGTTCCTGCGTTCGCGCTCGAATGTCTCGCGGATTAAAATAGATTTGTTAAGTAAGCAGAATCGTAGTTCCCGATTCCGAAGATTATAATGTGGATCATCATCGGTAGACGGGGAGAATTTTCTCTTAAAATTTACCCTGAAAATGACGTAATCGTGGAACAACGTGGCATTTTTAACAGTATGGGAGTTTTTTTCTGAAATTTTACTATGCATTCTAGTGGTAAACCGCTGAGGGAATTGCGGTGTACAGATTTGCGGCATTACTGGGTATTACTACACGGAGAGAATTTTCTTTTAAAACGTATCCTGAAAATCACGTGATCGTGGGACAACGTGGCATTTTGAAGAATTTTATGAGAGTTTTTTGAAATTTTACCACAGATTTTACTAGCAGAATGTATGGTAAAATTTCCAAAAACTCTCATGAAATTCCTGGAAATGCTGTGTTGTCCCACGATTACACCGAAAAAAGTGTATTCCTGAAATGTATATAAATCCTTTGCAAATCCTTTTAGTGGCGAGCGTGGCACAGAGAAATGTGCGCTGCTTAGTAAATAAATGAACGAAAAGACCCGAGTTCAAATCCAGCCACGGACACCGCTGGTTTTTTTCGGGCGCCACTTCTCGGAGGAAAGCGGCAACCACCGAGAGTACCTTACCACACGTACCCCTTTAGGGGTATAGCCCTTCAGGTTGGAAGTTTCCTTCGACAAGGTTTGGCAGTCTACCGAAGATAAAGTGAAACCAAAATGCTCAAAGTATCGGAACGAACTGGACAAAAACAGGCTTTGAGCCTAATACACGAGGAAGAAGAAGAAGAAGAAGAAAATAAAAATCCTCTTAATATATTGTAAGATGTATATAAACTTTAGAACGAAATAGGGCGTAAAATTAAATAAGGTAAACTCTTTACTTCGTCAGGAATTCAATATCTTTAATATTGCTGCGGCACAGTTCAAAATCACGAATAATACAAAGTACTAATCTAAACGAATTGTCGTTGATTACCACTTGATTATCATTTAACTTATTACATCTGTAAAATGTAAAAATTACAGTTTTTTAAATTTATGAAATATAAAATAGAATAGCTCATGAATCGTCTTGACCTTCCTGACAGAATTTCTCGTCAGTTTCTGATTACAGAAAATAAGGAGGGCAAGCATCAACCAGTAATTAAACAAGTAGCTAAATCTATAACTTGTCGAAAAAATCTATTTAGCTATGCTGTATTTATCTGTACTGTAATAAATAGTAAATGTTTATTTGTGGAACTGTTTTTGTTATGATTAATAATCCCAAATATTAAATAATATATGATAGGAAAATATGTATCATTTAATGTATATTCTTTTATATTAAGAATATCTAATAAGAATGTTTGATAAGAATATCTGATAAGGATATCCTGTTTAAAAGATTCCTCTCTTAAATTAAGACAATGCTTTTAGCGCTTATTTTAGAGTAAAATATAAAAGTAAGTGAAATATTCTTAAGATGAGAATATAATTTTTTCAGTGACATAATTTTCAGGCTAAATTTTAAAAGAAATTCTTTCCGTGTAGACATTACTAGGAATTTTTGGGCATTAGTTTGGATATTAGGCCTTGCTTTTTTGCATTATAAAGATAAAATAAGATAAATATTAATAAGCATTGGTATACATGATTTTGGTCAGCGGTTTACCCCTTGGTAAAATTTAAGAAAACTCATAAAATTTTTCGAAAAGCCATGTTATCCCGCGATTCACGATTTTTCGAATAAATTTTAAGAAAAACTTCTCTTCGAGTACGAAAGCTTCTTCCCGAACGCTTGCTGGCTCACCGAACAAAAATCGATCCATGAATTGAGCGAAATTAAAGTTTCAGCATCCGTAAAATGATCAAAATTATTTTTGGTATTCTACCAACCTTTCACAATGTTGGGATGCCTTTATAAGTTTTCGATTTATTTTATATGTATTACTGTGATGTGCGATTCGGTTTTTTTGACCACTTCTAAAAAACTATATACTTTGATATGTCACCCATTTTTTGCTGTCACATTTAATGGGTTAAACTTGATAAAGACCGGTATTACTGGCCGAAACGTCGTGTATGAATTAAAATATATTGTGCCAGTTGTTGTCGATATGATTCTCGAATTTTGAAAATTATTTTTATCGCCTCTTCACGAGAAACGTGATACAAGTCAAAAATAGTAATTTTACGGAAGAATGATTTTAAACTTTCAAACTGCTCGCAGATCGTACACGCAGCTACAATCATACATGGCCCGCCAAATTGTTTTTATCCTTATCCTTTTCTCGTCCTGACAGATCTCTCTTTCTCTCCGCAATGTGTAAGAATCGTATTTTTCTTTCAAACGTCCCTTCTCTTTACTTGCATCGCTATTTTTAAACAAAATATAATCCTCACATTGGTCCGTTTCGAATGAAATTTTTATGACTACACTCATGACACTTTTCTGGATAAAAGTACATACGTTTTCGAGTTGATAAATTATACAAACGCAAAAACTCTTATTTTTGTCTCGCATCACTTTTCCAAGAATCGATATACATGTACTTTCATTTCAGAGCTTGACGTTTTACCGAGACCGTTCTATAAGTCGGTCTATAAGACAAGTAAAATGAAGTCGAGTATTAAGAATTACGATATAAATGGAATCATCGTGCGGTGCGCTGTAAAAGTGGCGTGCTATATATAAATGTTTTCTCGCTCGGCGTCACGACCGATTAAAAATCCGTCCGTCGCTCTTTCCCCTGGGGCGAGAGCGGGGCCCTAAAATGTTATGAATCTCGCGCAAACGAGATCGCGGCTTGGAGACGAACTCGTCGGCGACCTCCGACGTCCGAGTCGAACTGCGTGATTGCGCGTGTATCGACTAAAAGACGCGTCGAAGGCACGTGACACACGCTATACGCCGTATATGGCCTATGCGCTCTATATATAGAGCCGTGGGTGCCTTCACCGACGTGTGTGTGCCTGGGTGGGCTCGCCCCCTTGGCCACGCAAAACCACGTCGGCCTTTTTCCCCCCCGTTTCTCGTATCGAACGCTCTCGGCTCGAACGCCCGCGACTCGCGACCTGGTCGAAGTCGACCGTCCGCGGGGTAATGCATTCTCCCGGGGACGAGAGCCGGCGAGCGGAAAGGACTCGAAAATGGCATCGCGGATCGCAATTGAGGGATAAATATCGACCCGAGATTGCGAAGTGCGACGCGAAGGTCAACTTGAAATGCGACAAACGTCACCGTCAGATTATTGCACAGTGATGGTTGACGGAATGGCTGCAACACTATTTTTTATGAATTCACTCTCTAAAGGCCTGTGTCTCTCTACTGAACTATGTCCACGTTTTAGTTTCGAGAAAT